CCAAGTTACTGGCACAAAGACATCACATCATCACATGCAGTAAACATTCAGAGACTTTAGCTTCAAGGACCTTTCTGCTGAAACTCAATGTATAAAGCTTTATATAACTTTGTATGATGTACGAAGCATCAATTTGCTTTTTTGCGTTCATTAAATAATTTACATTATATGCAATATATTTGTTACTCTACAATATTTATATTGGGTCATTCCTGAAAACATCCGGACCTCTTCCGCAGAGGAAATTGGGAGTTACCCCCCCCCCCCTTCAGATGTCCTAATACACTTAATACTATCATCAGAAATTGGACGGCAGAAATTTCTTCCTTTGGGTCAGGGTGGATCTTTTCTGGAATGACCCATTGAATTAATCCCAAGGCTGCAATGTCTGATTGTCAACACTTTTTTTGAAACACAGATAGGTTTCTCCTGGTGTACTCTCTAATATTAAGTCCTATTTTAATACTTATTACTAAGTATTATTACTACAAACAAGTCTCATCCACTGTAGGTATAGTTACGAAATAATTTGTAAGTGATTTAACTACCGGGTGGCGCAAAAAAAAGTATAACTGTTTGATTTAGTACGGCGAAAAATCTATAAGGGTTACATCCCTGAAATAAACGTAGCTGTATTCATAATAGTCTAACTTAAATTTTGAGCTATAGCATGTTTATTTACGTGCAATATTGCCTGGGATATCGCCAAATAAAATTTGGAACGAAGTTTTGAAAATCTGACAAATTGGCTAAAAATGGCCTATTAAACTGTTTTGATAAAGTTTAGAATTTCGTCAGACATATTCGCTTGTATGAATTTAATTTGAATTGAAACGTGTAACGAATGATTTTCCTTATTTATTTATTTGTTTTATTATCATTTGAAAAGCAACAAAATTTCGAAAAAGATGGCTCTTTTAATTAAGAATTGCTTTGCAGTATTCCATGTCCCATAGCTACAGGGAATTAAATTAGATCAACAACCGAACAATTTGAGACAGCTTCGTGAAGCGATTATTGCTGATTGCCATAACTTTGACCAGCAAATAAATCCAACGTTAATTCGTTCGATAGTATGGTCACACATGCAAGAATATAGTTATTTAATTTTCCATGATAAACGCGTTATTTACTGCCGTTGTGTTCTTCATATATCGTTAATTCCTTTACTCGTATTTAATAGGCTATTTTCAGCTAATTTTGGAACGTTTTGAAATTGCATATTCAAATTGATTTACCAATATCTTGGGTAATACTAAACAAAAATGCATGTGTTATACATCAAAATTTAAGTTAGGCCTTCCTGGATAGGATAACATTTATTTGAGGAACGTAACACTTATAGTTTTTTCGCTGTACTAAATCAAACGCGTGAACTTTTTTTTGCGCCACCCGGTATAATTTACTGATTTAAATATATTTTTATTTATGTCGTCAACTTGGCACCCTGCCAGTAACGTTATTCTCCGTATTCTCTATTATCAAGTGCTGACAGTTGATTTGATTGATACAATATTTATAGTTCAACTTCGCATTGACTCACACAACAAACTAATCTTTCGTTCGGAAATATAAGCTACAAGTGCAGTAGCGACGATATGATATGCACCAAAAACAACATCCATTCCAAATTGGACCTGTTCTATATGTGCCCAGCGATTTAAAATCCTTCGACAAACTTTAAAAAGAAAATGCAAAATAACGTTTATCACTACTGCCAAAACTGCAACGGTAATTCCAGATAGCAGGCGGTAAGCATAGTAAAGATAAGGACTTTCTTCGTAAAATATTCTTTCTCTGTACTGCAAATATAAATCTTCCCCAAACCAATTTGAAAACGAAGCCATCTTTATTGTTTACGTTAGGGATGTTTATGGTTTGGGCCAATGCAACCCTAAGTGTCCCAATATGTTCCCATTACCAAGCGCCAATTATTCTGTGAACAGACAACCGTTTCGCTACTTCTAAATGGGTACTTTTAACCAATATTCTAAATTTTAGAATGCGGGTAGTACCCAAGCTAGGTATATACCTGAGCAATCCTAACCCTAACCCATAACCCCTAACCACTAACCAACCACTAAAGCGGTTTCCCAAAACCCCACCCCACCAACCGCCAGTGTTGGGTTTTGTCTTCAGTCGAAGTAGGTCAGGTATATACCTAGCATGGGTATTACTACCCTGGATTCCAGAGCTTTCGACAGTAAATAATAAATTGAAACGTCGCGAAGCCTCTGGTTCAACGGGGAGATTCTTTGATTAAACCGCGCCAATCACAAAACAAAATTAGTGCTTTTAGTACAGAATCAAAAAAATCTCCCCGTTGAACCAGAGCCTTCGCGACGTTTCAATTTATTATTTACTGTCGAAGGCTCTGGAATTCAGGGTAGGTTATTACCCGCATTCTAATATTTAGAATATTGGTTAAGTACCCATTTAGAAGTAGCGAAACGGGTGGAACAGATGCGAGGCAAATCCCATGCATCAAGGGTTCTAAGTTTCTAACATTTAACAACTAATAATTCGACAACTGCAACAATCTCGTTCCCCGAGCCTGCGATCCTCGGGAAGGAATCGAAGGCTCTGGGATAATCCGTTACCGGAAGCCAAGAATCCTGGCTAAGATTGAACTACGCATTCCGTTTCAATGGCCAATCAGATTCCTCCCTGAAACGGATTATCCCAGAGCCTCGCGTTCCTTCCCGAGGATCGCAGGCTCGGGGAACGAGATTGCAACTGCAACAACTTTCAGGCTCGTACCCAGGCGCAAATAACGTACTAAAAATAGCAACACTACAGTGTTTTTTATATAGATCTGTGGCTAAGATGAGCGAGCTTGCGGGGTGATCGCTAGATAGTATACTTCAAAATAAGGTTTCCGTTTTTATAACGTAGAAAAAACTATCCTAACGCAAAATTAAACCCTAACCCTAATACTAACCCTAATACTAACCCTCACCCTAACCCCAACCTAACCCTAACCTAACCCTAAATTATTTTAAAAATTGATATAAAAATGGAAATCTTATTTTGAAGTATACTATCTAGCAATTGCCGAGCTTGCGGGGGTGCTTGATAAAAACACTGTAGTCTTGCTATTTTTAGTACGTCATTTGCGCCTGGGTACGAGGCTGAACAACTTTACTGTCGTAGCCAGATTGCAGTGCCGCAAATCCTCCGCTATGTGATGTTAATTAACCAATTGTCCAAGTCACAGATAACTCAGCCTGAAACATAGCTAATAATTAGTTGGTTGGGCAAGAATACAATATGCACGTAAAGCCTAATTTCCATTTGGTCGTTAGTTGTCGCTGGCACGACAAGCGGCAGATGTGAAATAGTCTAATATAATAATAGTCTTTTGTGTGATATGCAAATCAGTCTTAATGATTGCAGAGTTTTTTGTTGACACTCGGCCACTTGTCGTGTATTACATCGGCCACTTGTCGTGCCAGCGACAATTAACGACCAAATGGAAACTAGCCTTAAGGATTTTTGCATCAACCTAGTGGCAAAACGATTTATGAGTAAATATGAGGATTTTGAGCATCCTCAATGCCGAAGGGATTCGAAGATGAAAATTATAGCACAGCACCGCTATCGCAGGGCCGCAGGTTGGATTCCTGCCAGAGGGCCGATTACTGTATTTTTCGCAACTGCTCCTGGTGCCCAAATTAAGAAATGAACCAAAACGTCTTCAAACTTTGTGTACTTACTATTTTTGAGGTGGCCTTTTCAGTGATTTGGTTCATTTCTTAATTTGAGCACTTTTTAACACTCGTCCCCAGTCCACTCATCAACTTCGGAATGGCTAATTTAGTATTCACTATTCAGTGAAGGGGAGAAGATATGTGCGCACGGAGAGGTGTATAAGTAGTATAAGTACCATTACCTTAAATTGAGTGTTATATATTTTACGATATTGTTTAGACATGAGTGTGTTGGAGAAGATTAATAGTTGTCAAACGCCAAGAGAGTTATCATCTTTGGAAAGGGAACATACCTTTAATGAAGCGGAACAGCATTGTGCATTTGAGAAACGAGAGAAAATTTCTGCAGGCATAGCGGAGTGGCGGTAATCGTACTAAGCATCGTAGAATACATACAGGTGAGAAACCTTATGGGTGTGATGTTTGTGGGAAAAGGTTCTCGGATATAAGTCTAGCCATGCAAAACATCTTAGAATACACACCGGCGAGAAACCTTTCGAGTGTGATGTGCGTGGGAAAACGTTTTCACAGTCGAGCGGCTTAATAAGACATCGGAGAACGCGTACACTTGACGTTTATGAAACACTATTAGCTTTTAGAGTTGATATTTTAAAAACACGTAACGTTTATGAAACATTATTAACTTTCTGAGCTGTTGTACATGTTATATATTATTATTTTGCTGGACGAGATTACGCGGGGTGTATCCATGCACGACCAAGTTCATCGATCTTTCTTTCATGCAACGTCAACAACTTACCACCGAACGTGTCTTAGCAGTAAAAGCCAATCCAATCCAATCACGAATTTTGATTGAATGATGTCAACGTCAATTTGATTCATATGGAAATGCCCCATGGAGGTCCTTACCTTCGCACGAAGCGAAGTGAAATCAATTTAGAGAAACATTTAGAGAAAGGGATCGATTGAACTGTGTCTAGCCAGAGCCCTTGTCGTCGCCAGAGCTAAAATTGAAAACGATAGTCGTAATCGTCTTATATGAGATTATCGTAGACCAATGCAAACACGTATGGCTCAAGAATTACATGAAAAAGCGAGCGTTCCCCTCGGATCTGTCCGAGTACCAAATCAACATCGTTTCCAAAGTCAAAGAGCATCAAAACGCCCTCATTTACCGCATTTACATCGGTCCCGATCAAGAGAAAGGAATTACCTTACGAGTATGCCCGGTTTTTTGGCTCGGAGTAAGTACTGTCACACCTGTAAGAAAGCCTACAGTAATGAGACAGATCATCTGTGTCCTGGTATGTGTAAATGCTGTCGTTTTATGGAATGTCTTATCGTGTCCTGGATTCATTGTGACAAATGTAATCGGTATTTCAAGAGTCAAGAATAACAGGGTGACCGTAACAATACCAAAACATTTGGTTTGACCGAGTTAGCCCAAGGTTATTTTCCCCACCATTTTGACAAGAAACAGAACGAACAGTATGTCCGCGAACTTCCAGATCCGACGGTCGGAAGAAATTCCTCGAATGGTATCAACCTCTCAAACAAGAGAACTATATATATATATGTTTTCAATGTCCAGCAAGAAATCCTAAGTTACTGCCGTTCCGATGTTGATATTCTCCGTCGCTGTTGTCTCGAGTTTCGCGAACTGTTTCGTCACGTCACCGATATAGATCCTTTTGAGAAATCACCATTGCGTCAGCGTGTAATCTCGTATTTAGATCGAATTTCCTTCAAGAAGACACCATTGCCATCATTCCTCCACACGGTTACTGCCCGGAAAACAAGCAATCCAATTTGGCCCTGAAATGATTAACCTATACTACTGAAAAGAATGGCATTTACATTCAGCATGCTCGCAATGCTGGTGAAAATCGTGTTGGCCGCTATTTGCTGGACGGACATCACGATGAGACCAATACTGCTTACGAAGTCCATGGATGTTTCTGGCACGGTGAGTATTTCCTCAAATAACGCCTCTCAAATAAACATCACAGATAAAATATTTTTATTTTTACAGATTGTTTGAACTGTTACGCCCGTGATACCGTGAATCCCGTCACGGTAAAACAATGGATGAGCTACACATGATGACCGTAGAAAAGGCACGGTGTTTGAAAGATCGAGGATTCGACGTGGTCGAAGTGTGGGAATGTGAAATCAAACGAGAATTGGAACGCGATGAAAAGAGAAGAAATGAAACGGTACAACATCAACTTGACGGATCGTCTGGAACCTCGTGATGCCTTCTTTGGTAGTCGGACCAACGCTGCAAAACTTTTCCACGAATGTGAAGAGGATGAGAAGATAAGGTGAGATGGTAATGAATCTAATTATGACGTCAGAGCAAATCTAATGATGACGTCATTTCGCCCATATTGAGACGAAGCACAAGTCGATTTTTAGCTATATACACATATGTTGATAGTCATGTTTGCACAAATTGCTTTAAAGTAACTTCCCACTTAGTTGCCAAACGATTATGATCAAAGTGCAGTCACCCGTGTTTTTTACAGGATTATGATTGTTACATTATAGCAACTTAAAGGTCTCTTCTTAAAGGTCTCTTCTTCTTCGGCATCAAGATTCGACTCACTTGCGTGACGTCAGAATAAATGCTAGTGCCAGACTTCTGTCGCCGACGGCCATTAGCCAAAAATATTTGGATTCAAGCGGCTCTAAAATTTGATTGATGACAAATAGCACTTACGCATAAATCAAACTAGAGACGACTTTCTGAATAAGTTAGTATTCTGTGCTAATATAGTCAAAGTCCTCTGGGTTGCCCGCACAGCCTCCCTCCCCCCTCCCCAATTATCTTAAAATTTCCAAAATATTTCCCGTAAATTTCATATTTTAATATTATTGCATTTTCCATTTTTCCTGTAATATTTTCGGTCGTTTCGTTTCGGTCGTTTCGTTTCGGTCGTTTCGTTTCGGCCGTTTCGTTTCGGCCGTTTCGTTTCGATGGTTTCGTTTCGGTGATTTCGTTTCTGACTTTATTGACAATTTTCCATGTTTTTGGCTTCACTTATAGTTATAGTTATAACCAAGTTTATAGTCATTCAGTGTGATCATCTATCTAACAACATCGGTATGGGGCGCTAGACTATTTCACATCTAATCGTACGGCTAATCCAATGGCTTGTTTTCCACCGCCCGAAGTGATAGTCCGCGGTCGAAGTGCTGAGACGTTTGCAGATCTTCGCTCGGCAGGTCATTACTATGTCGCAGAGTATTTCAGTCAATGGCTTTTACGAAGAGCGACATGTGTTGTACCCCCAATCCCCTGGACAGCTTACAATCGCGTTCTGGGACCTCAATTTAAAGCATCCAAAAGCGTAGCGAAAGAACGAGGGGATGACACCGAATTGATGGTGTACAAGACGATTTTTAAGTGCGGGGAGCTGTACGGGGCGCCGATGTTTCTTATCGCACAGATAGACTATGACCCGCAGAATAAGACGAAGCAGTTACCAACTGTGCTGACATCCTTCTTGCCCGATAACAAACAACAGCAGCTCGCTTTAGCTTCAAAGAAGTTGGACATTGACCTAGCAATTGTCCATACTGACATTGGTGCAATTGTGGTTGAAATCAAGGCAGCCACAAACCCCCTGGTAGACATCGGTGACGCTATTACATCATTGCACAAAGCAGAAAGTCTATTGCGACTTTTTTGTCATGAATTATTTCCCATTTTCAAAGTGGCTCTCTTCCCTAACAGCGAGTGTCTATCTGAGCATCAGAAATCTGAGATAAAGAGACTTGAGCAGAAGGATGGCTTTGAGTTCTGCGACAGTGCATTTTCATCACAGCCAGAGGCTGTTCTCCATCTGCTGACAAGACTAAAGGAAGTTACTACCAAGAAAGGATACCCTAAGCTGTTGGAAGAGGCAAATGAATTGCTTGACTACTTGATATGCTTGAAATGTCTTGTCACATCCACTGTACACAACAGCAAGGTGACACGAATTATCACAAAAGATGATGTAGTGAATGTTGTAAAGCAGGTCAAGAAGACTGACACTAAGCTGGTACAACATGATGTTTTCTCTAAAGCTGATCAAAAAGCAGGGCTTGTGAAAAAAGTGAGAACTGCTACTGAAGTCCTGTTTTTAAATCCTGAGCAGATTGCTGTTTGGGATGGTCCAAAGCATCAGATTTTACATGGAGTTGCTGGAACAGGCAAGACAGTCCTCATCCAGCATAAAATCTTGCAGCTAGATAAGTCGCTTCCACCCCAGGAACAGATCACAGTTGTGACTACAAATGCCGTGTCTAATGTGTATCAGAAATTCTTTGGTCAGAATGGAGCAAGCAAACGAGTAAGTGTTTATACTGAGATGAATCTAAAATTATCTTGTGATACAGAAACAGCAGTGACTAAACTGTGTCAAGGTCATGTTTTCATTGATGAGGCTCAAAACCTTCAAGATTTCAGTGCATTCCTGAAGGCAATTAGCTCAAACAAAAGCAGTCAAAACTATGTATGGATTTCCCTAGATCCTCTGCAGGCACTTGACAAATTACACATGTCTATTGAACAAGTAACAGCAGAGCTAGGTATTTTCACACTTCCACCACTTTACCATGTCATGCGGTGTACTCCAGAAATAACCAACTTTTGGTCCAAGCACCTTCCACCACAATCACCTGTTTGTTATGCTCAAGGCAATCGAATGTTTGTACAGGATGTGCCAGTCTATCGTCCAAGCAGCAATGAAGAAGCAGTGGAACTCATACACAGTTTATTACAGCAGTATGTTGATGGTGAAAACATCACATACCAAGACTGTGCAGTTCTTGTCCATTCTCCACCTTTATCGATAATTCCCATCAGGAGACATCTTCTTGCAAAATTGGGATGGTCTGAGAGTGATTACTTTCAAAGTACAAGTGATGATAACATTGTAATTCGAGATATGCCAAATGATATTTGGTCACTTGAATGGTCGTATGTGTTCCTTGTTGCCCAGGATGCTATGCTCTTTCCTACAGACAAGGAACTTGATGCCAGGTTGTTTAAACCAGGTTACTGGAATTCAGGCATCTACATATGCAGTTCCAGATGTAAGGTGCAGTTGTTTTTGATAGCAATGGAGACTGGCGGACGACTGAATGTAGACCTTCCTACAATGTCCATTCCAGCTGAAAGAATAAACTTTTCCTTTAATTTAAAATTGTGACATTTTTTTCTATTATTTGATCTAGGACTGTATATCATATTTTTTATACATGTACAATTATGTATGACATCATCAAAATTATTTTTATAGGCTTGTGCATGTACATGGGTGTGTGTTTCAGGGACAGCGGAATATATTTTGGATTGGCGAGGCTTAACGACTGCTTGCACAAGTTTCCCTGTGTTAATGTTTCAGTTGCACAAGGACGGAAAGGTTATTGGTGGTGCTAAAGCCCAGCCAGCCACCCTAGCTGCTCTGCGGTCCCTGGTCTTTATGTGTACTGCATTGTAGTGGTATCTTGTATCCATTTAACATTTCATGTCAGTGTTTCCTTTTTTCTGTCTTGGATTATTTTGAAAGCATATAACATATGCATGAACATAATTTTAGTCTGAGTACATGGAACTGTTGCCACAAAAATCCTATGCATGTAACATGAGGGCAAGCACAGCATTTGTTGATGATGAAGGACAAACAGCTCCAGAGCAATGGCAATTCTTGGGTCAGTCTCAGTGTTCAATTGTTTGAAAGAGGATTGGAAGGCTATATATACTTGTGTACATGCAGTATAATATTTAATTATAATTTATGATTAAATTAATGCACAATCATTGTATACATTATTGTAGCTATATAGTTCTTTTTACACTGACCTGAAAGGTCAAGTGTCATAAATCACCAGTTTTCGGTGGGGTTTGTAGTTTTCATCGTCGAGAAATGGAGTTTCCATCAGTGCATCGCAGGCTCAGTTTCCAGTGTGCCAGTCGTTCCAGGTTACTATACAGATCAATTTTCAAGTCAGTACTAGGAATTTATGACCCCTATAGTAGGAAGATCAGACTATGAATTAAAGGCTCTTGAATTGAGAAAATTAGCTAAGGCATTATAATTAACCATACACAGAAGAATATGAACTAGCCATAATAGGGCTGCAGGGCCATCGGTAACAACACAATTGGGTGGGGTGCTATAATGCTTACTTTAAAGTATTTTGCTGTCTAATGGTAGCACATGCATTCATTGAGTCTAATATGCCATTTTCTGATATATTAATTAGTAAGTCATTATTGCTGCCTATGTTAATTTGTGTTTGGAATGCATGGCATTTGGAATGTATGTGTAAACCCATTCGTTGGTTTACACAACATTCTGTATTCACCCGCTTTCAGGATGATAGGTGATGGAAACTGCCTGTACATGCAATGCTTGTTCCATTGCATTTATGCATTATGCGGCAATGAGTCCCTTGCACCCTACCAGGGCCGCCGAGAGAATTTGTGGGGCCCGGGGCAATTCTGCTCTGGGGGCCCTATGACATCATTATTTTTAAGCTAGACCCAATTAGTCAGTCACTCAACTAGACCTTAGCTAGACTGCATGTGGAGCTATTGTAAGGGGGCCCTCAATTTCAAAAATGCTCTGACCAATTTAAAGAACCTATACTCAATTTCAGGCTCTCACTCTCAAGTTGGGGGCCCAGGGCAATTTCCCCCCCCCCCCAAATTTGCAAAGAACCCTATTTTAGAGCAGCAGCATAACAAAGATGCATTTTATACTTGCATTGCAGATACCTTTCAATGTGCTTGTCTGATGTTGCTCTCAGTTCTTACGCTAAAGAGGATCTTTGCAAATATGTGATTGCTGAAGCTGATACAACAACGCATTGAATCACCAGTGGAGTTCATTCCTTTGCGTTCTCGCATTGTCAAGACTGTCAAGTTCAGTCAGTGAAAGTGAAACGTCCAATATCAGCCTACATACTCTCCCATCCCAGCAAACGAAATGACCTCCAAAGAGAAGAAAGATTCATTGTCCACAATGTTTTAATAATTGCACCATTTTCCCACGTTTAACAACAAATGTAAATTTTGATGAAAGAATCCACTTATTTCAGTGTGCGTTGATGCCTGTCGAAGCATGATGCTTGTAAGCATGATGCTTGATGTTGTAAATACACAACGTTCGAGAGTTTTTGAGATAAGGGACAGCAGTGATTGCCAGTGAAACTGGTCGGTAATTCATCATCATCAATTCAATTCATCAATTCAATTAATCTACGCGTGCTCTATAAAAACCTTCGCCTTCCTCCAAACCTTCCTTTACCAAAACAAAGCAAGCAATTCTTGATGGTTTATTTCCATAGGAGAGAAAGTTCGACGAGAAGAGTGACAACGAAGATGATCAAAACCTTCCCAGCAACCGAAAAACGTGTAACAGAATCGTTTTCAAAACCGCAATCCTCTAGTTTTATGACGGACATTGCAAATTATGTTTGTTGGGTATGTGGCGGTTGCCATTCTTTATTAATTATTATATATCAATTTGACTTCACATAAGTTTCTTATAGCTTTATTTTACTTGACGAACAGATCTTCACTTAATAAATCAAGTATTAACATTACAACTAATAATTGTTTCTATTTTAATAACATAGATTATTAATACGTCACACATAAGAGCACAACTTTAAATTAACCTGGTACCCAGGGTTATAAAAGTACCACGCCCTTTGTGATGTCTGGATACCATCCGCAACACATCCACTTCATTTAGGCGACGGTGGCAGAAAATTCCGCTTTGAATTGTTACCAGTGAAACTATTTACGTGGTTAGCGTATTCGCAAAAAGAAGATGGAGCCTCCTGCATAAACTGCGTTTTGTTTGGTTCGGAATGTAAGGGAGTGCACTATACCAGTAAACTGCAAAGGTTGCTTACATCCCCATTGAGAATCTGGAAGGTCGCGCCTGCGAAGTTCAATTCCGTGAGCATTCGGAAAAGTCACCACTTCATCGAGCGGCAACATCCGACGTGCAGCAATATTGAGATCGCACATGGAAAAGAAGTCCGAACCCATCGACCTTATGTTGGATGAAATGAAACGGCATCAGATAGAAGAAAACAGACAAATCCTCAGACCCATCGTTGGAGCAATTGTTCTTTGACTTTGTGGAAGGCAAAATATTTCACTACGCGGGCACAGAACTATGATTCGTCTAATTATTTATCAGATGACGTCAACTGGGGGAACTTTATCGAAATCTTGAAGTATGGTGCACTGTGCGCCGGGAAGACAGTGGAAGAATATTTCAAAAGCACACCCAAAAATCTTACTTATAAATCGAAGATAACCCAGAATGAGATCACCGATATTTGTGGGGACTCACTCTTGCCATTACGAAAAAAATTATCGATGAGATCCGCAAAGCAAAGTTTTGTGGACAGTATGCACCACATTAGAGAACAGTTTCTTGATTCTCTTCCTTGCAACAAAGGTTTGACGGGCGAAGCTATTGCCACTACGATCAAACATTTCCTTCGTGATCAGAATATTCCGATTGATGACTGTCGTGGTCACTGGTTATGTAAGTAAGTAAGTAAAAGCTTTATTTAAAGAGGGTAGCACTAAATAGCCGAGGATAATATACTTGTGGCCCTGGTTCAGTGATGGAGCTGGAAATATGGCGGGAAGGCTGGCTGGAGCAGCAGCTAGATTTCAGGAAATTAACAAGAAAGCTCTTTACACCCACTGTAATTCTCACATCATCCTAAATCTTTGCGTTTGCTAGCAATATGATGGAACATGTTCGCGTTACTTCTGACTGAGTTTTTCAACTTTTCTCCAAAGCGTTTCGATTTCCGCTTGGTCAACTATCAAAGAGTTGCTTCCTATAATAAGTCACAAGCGTCTCATCATAGTCTGCAAAACTAGATGGCTGGCGAGAATCGACGGTTTGTCTGTTTTTATTGAAGTCTTTGCAGCTATTGTTAAGTGCCTTGAAACAATCCGTGACAACAGCGACGATTCATGGAACCTAGAATCCACCCGAAAAGCCTGTTATTTGTTAATTGGAACCATATCCTTTCTATTCATCGTAACAGTTGTGGTATCGGGATTTCTAGAGCTGACGCGTCCACTCACCGTGCAGCTACAAGAATCGGCCGTAGATGCAGGAGCAGCGAGCGGAGAAAATGTGTCTCGCTTATATGTGCACCGCGAACAGGCATACTCTGGGAACGAGATTGAAATGTTAGGTAATTTGCAGCGTACACCTTAAATTATTACTAAGTACACTTCCATTTAACAATAAAATTATTTAATACATATTTAGAAAATGTTGAACAATGCACTTTCCAACTATGATTGCCTACAAAGGAGGACATTATGAAAAAGACTTACTAAACAGTCTCAATATTACGCCCGTAAATCTAGAATGCTTTGGCTGTCCTAAAGCACAAACCTCTCTGACAAACTCGATCGTCTTGTTGGAAACATGTGGAAATCACCTCGAAGCCAATGCCTATCAACATTGCGCAAAAGTCGAAGTCTCTGCAATGTGGCTAAAACAACAGTAAAGACAAAGAAAGACCCCGGTTCTTTTAAGAACCATCAAATACTAAAAAAAATATATCTGATTAAAATTGTCCAAATCTCTATTAATCTATTTTCTCTGTGCACACACATCAATTTGCACACATCTCTGTGTGCGCGCACCCTCTAGTGCGCACACCTTTGATGTCACCCTGTTTAATACATGACGTCACACATTTCTTATACACGTGCGCACATCTTAATGACGTCATATCGTATGAATACTAATTACTTCCGATCCTGGATGTACGTACAGGTTAAGCTACTTACCTATTACAGGAAACTAGAAGTTACCATTGCAAGAAAAATGCTGCCTCATCCCGCCTTCCATCATATAAGCACATAAAGCACCCCTAAGACACCTGTTCAGGAGGTAAGGAAAAGTGCAATTTGAATACGAAAACACCTTGCACGAAGTCGAAGGTCAGCTAAATATTCTAATTCTACTTTCTTGGCATGGACGGTTTTATACCTTCAACGCCTATCATTTCTTGCTTCGGTATGTGTAATTACAAGTGGTGAAGACTGTTAGTGGTAAAGCTATAGCCATAGCACCAGGTCATGCTATGCAATTTTTAATGATTTGCATTATTCAAATAGATGTAAGTTTATTAGCATAGCATGACCAGTTGTCATGGCTAGCTTGCCACTGAACACTGTACAATATCATATCACAAACGATAATAATACTTGAATAAATCATTGGATATGTATTAATAACAATAACAATTTCAGTTTTTATCCCAATTATCGTTTTAATGGCACCTTCAAGGCTACCCCTACCTTACCCCCTGACTCTTCCACAGTCCCTCATCCGTGATTTAAGCCCCGCGCTCCAATTGTTTTTCCACTGATCTCTCAGTCCCAACTGAAGCGACGAGGGACAAGGCAGCCTTACCCCTATCTCAGAACAACTGAACAATCTGCTGATCGGGAGGCAAAATCTATTTTGTTGACATTTTTGTTTAATACGTCAGCTTCAGATGACACCATTCATGGTATAAATGATTAAGATTGTACTCAGTCAGAACTGCAAAACTATATAATAAAAAAGAAATTGTGAGCTTTATCGAAAACAAGTCAGATAATTTTTCATTCGTTATACAATTGTACGTTCCAATGTGGGCATCATACTGCTCAATTGACCTTATGCATATTAATGACGTCACAAGGCTTGATGCCCGCGAGGAATGCTGGTCTTAGTAGTCATTGCCCGGGAAAATTAAACAATGGGTAATGACTACAAAGACCAGCATTCCTCGCAGGCATCAAGCCTTGAGACGTCATTATGCATAAGGTCTATCGAAATAAAAGCCCCGCATAAAAGAACCAGTAGGTTAAGAACCACTACAGGTAAACCAACCTCGTTCCCAGGGCTTTAGCCCTGGGAACGAGGTTGCAAGTAGACTACGTCAAGAGTTCCTCTTAAGTTTCTAAATTGATTGCACTTTTCCTCATTATAATTTTGCAATTAAAAAAACTCCCTTGCAAATCCCTTGCGGGAATTTGCAATTTTGCAAAAAGCCGATTACATTTTCCTCATTCCTGTTAGAAGTTCTTAACTTCCTGTTTCAACTTTCAAGTTCCTCAGAACAGAACAGAACAGAAAGACAGGAAATTAAAACAGGAAGTTCGGAAAATTTAAAATGAAGGTTTCTGCATAAGACCACAGAGAAGAGATATACAGAGAGAAAACTCGCGGCAAATTATGTCACTCCACTGACGCCAGTATGTCAAGGTCTATCAAGTCTATTAACTATATAAAATTATATTAATTCACTATTTTATTAAATTTTGATAATGCAGAAGAATAAAACTATACATATTATAAAAGTATTCATGTTTTTTTTATGCAAGAGTTATATTTTGAGATCATTTGGCATTTCACGATTTTAATAAGGAGTAGTCCGAGTAGATAGGGAAAAAAAACTTTTGCAAAATAAAATGTTATGTTAACACTTTTAATAAAAGGAAATCAATAAAAGTGATCGCTTACCGTTATTCAACAATAATTTATTGAACAAAATTTCCATGGGTTTCTCATTAAAAAAATTTTTCACCTTTCGAACGGCGTTTTCCCTATATTTTGCTATGAAATTTCAGCGACGGCACTGGCTGGGAAATCTTGCGTGGCGCGTGGAACGCGTAACACAATAATTGAGGTTATCGGGTGTCAGTTTCCTCTCTGTATATCTCTCCTCTGTGATAAGACTGCATTGGAATATTGCAACAGCCGATAGGAACATTCCAAATTCCCTCAAGGGATTTGCAAAGAGTTTTTCAAATTTGCAAAGCTGAGGAAAATTCCAAATGAGTTAGAAAGTCAAAAGAGGAACGCTGCTATCATGTACTGATTAGTGTTCTATATCTCTCAAACCTTGTATGTACGGACTACGGTGTCGGTGAAACTTAACAAAAAACCCCAGCAAAACAATAAAATAAGACGTTTTAATAACAAAACAAAATATTCACAAGTACAATACAAAATAAATAACTCTATACACAAAATATTTTCTTTTACCCATGAAAATATAAATCTGTGCTATATACATAAACTAACTCCGTGTAAATACTTTTTCCTAAAAACAGAAATATTACGATTTTCCGCGAAAAATAACTGATTGTTAGCTGTGAAGTATTTGTACTCCAGTGTCCATGGGGTAAGCAAGTTCCTGCGGATAATAACCTGGCATAGGTAACTGATAAAGAGTGCTGGGGTCTGTGCCTATGGTTGCAATGATATGTGGTGCGTAAGGTGAAAATGCCGGGTGGCTGGGGCCCGGGAATACTTGATGAGGAGGCATGAATATCCGGGATGATGCACGAACTGGAAATGTTGTACTTGGTAAGTCATACAGCTCATAACCTCCGTGTGGATAATGTGATGGTTGGAAGACTGGGAGCGAGTATATAACGTCATGAGGACTGTGTGCACGTTTACCTGGGATGATATTCGTCAACAGTATCTCATCACCAGTTCCTCGCGCATGCTTACGCATATCATGCGACTCTTCCGCGTGGTAATCGTGTGGCATACTAAAGTCGTTCACATGATCAAAACGTGATAAGTACTTTGGTTTACTTTCAAACTCTGACTTTCTTGATTCAGTTTTGTGTTGACGTGCATAGATTGCTGGATAATCCTCTGTTCTTATTACTGGATAATCTTCATTCCTATTACCACGTAGTGAATCTGGAGTATTCACACGTTCACTCGACCCAGTACCTGTAAAACCCCCAGGCCGAGCACTGTAACGAATACTTTGTGGATCAAATGTTGGGTACCTTGCAGAGAGCTTGTTAGAATTTGACGAACACAACATAATCGGACTGCTTCGACTTCCTGTTGTAATGAACTCAACTGGCGAGTCACGATCCGCTGCTTTGTTGTATTGATGTTGCGTGTTTGAATATACCACTGACCGTCTATCTTGCTGGCTCTGGTAACTGAGAGATGTTGGTTGAGTGTAGTGTGTATGTTCAATATTGTGAACCAGTGGATGTGATGTCCTGTCTAGATGGCTTGCAATTGTTGTGGATCCTTTGTTTTGTGCCTTCATCGACGTTACAAAAGCATTATGTCTGTCTTCTTGTGCTATCACACGCGCTGGGTTCGACATATTCTGTTGGCATAATGACGCTCCACGTGAGACTGCTGACTTGAACAGCTCGTTTGGCTGGCTCGTTACACCAGTTACTGCTGTTTTCAACCGATTGTCTTGTTGGCTCATTACACCAGTTATCGCTGCTTTCAACCGCGTGTCTTGCTGGCTCATTACACCAGTTACCGCTGTTTTCAACCGAGTGCCTTGCTGGCTCATTACACCAGTCATCGCTGCGTTCAACCGAGTGTCGTCCTGGCTCATTACACCAGTTACCGCTGCTTTCAACCGAGTGCCTTGCTGGCTCATTACACCAGTCATCGCTGCGTTCAACCGAGTGTCGTCCTGGCTCATTACACCAGTTACCGCTGCTTTCAACCGAGTGCCTTGCTGGCTCATTACACCAGTCATCGCTGCGTTCAACCGAGTGTCGTCCTGGCTCATTACACCAGTTACCGCTGCTTTCAACCGAGTGCCTTGCTGGCTAATTACACCAGTTACCGCTGCTTTCAACCGCGTGTCTTGCTGGCTCGTTACACCAGTTACCGCTGTTTTCAACCGCGTGTCTTGCTGGCTCGTTACACCAGTTACCGCTGCTTTCAACCGAGTGTCTTGTTGGCTCATTACACCAGTAACCACTGCTTTCGTCCGAGTGTCTTGCTGGCTCATTACACCAGTTACCGCTGTTTTCAACCGAGTGTTTTGCTGGCTCATTACACCAGTTACCGCTGTTTTCAACCGAGTATCTTGTTGGCTCATTACACCAGTAACCGCTGCTTTCGTCCGAGTGTCTTGCTGGCTCATTACACCAGTTACCGCTGTTTTCAACCGAGTGTTTTGCTGGCTCATTACACCAGATACCGCTGTTTTTAACCTAGTGTCTTGCTGGCTCATTACACCAGTAACTGCTGCTTTTACTCGAGTGTCTTGCTGGTATGGTTGTATTACATGGGAAAGTATCGGTATGCTAGGTTTACTTTGTACCTTCTGTATTGTGACCAGTGGTTGAGACAGTTTCTCCTGCTGGCTCGTTGAGAGGATAATAGCCTCGTTTTGAGAAACGACATTTCCATTTTGATCTTTTTGAGGCGCAACAAGATCATCTGGTGTGGGCGATGGAGTTTCGGAGCGTTTAACATCAAGTAGATACTCTTCACCTCTTGAACATCTCTCAAATGGCAGCAGTAATCTGAAGATGCAAAGTTACAGCATTAATATACAGGATGAAAATCAACGATCAAGACTTAACAAATGCCTTGTCAGCGAAAACATTACAAAAAATTCAGGTTCGATTTTCCAAGTTGTCAAAAAACTTTGAAGCCAGTAATATCAGAGAGAAGCATTCTTACTTTTCATAATGTCTTCTTGAATTTGTAGCAGCACTAGTAATACTTGGTGCTCCACCAACTTCGCTGTAGACACGTCGCCATAATCTCTTGTCTGTCACCTAAAACAAATATTACACAAATTACAGCATTTCTGCGTCTATTCATTACTTAAACAACATAAGACATGCAAAAGAAGCTGCAGTGCGTTTACACGCGCTCTTTGCATGTAAAGTCTAGCGTAACAATAGTGCAATCCAGTCACGAATCAGCAACCAGAAGTCTCTATTGTCTTTTCATTGTCTTCAAAATCCCACTGTTCTTTATGTCAGCATTTAAAAAGACCTACTGTTGCTAAACAATTTCTGAAATCAATGTATTCTGCTGTAATATCTCCGCCACTAAGCTTCGAATTATCTTTGATCGTAACAGGCAAGTGTCGATTTTCAGCATCTTTACAATCTTACATTAAAGTGTCAATGTTTTTCAAAATCAATATGTATGTTAGAACGCTATTTGGGTTTTAATAAGCAGAACAGCAGACGGTACTCAAATTCAGAAATGTTGACATTTCTGGCACTGGTAGCAGTGAGCTCTATAGATACTGGAGCAAGAACTTCAGTCGTTCGGCCTACAAGAAAAGTGAAGCCAAGACAGTGGAATCGACGTCCAATAGCTATGAAGGTTGTAAAGCTATAAAGTATAAAGGTCCAGTTTTTTCTCTAACGGACCCGGCGGGACCGTATCGCTAATCAAGTTATCAGTTCATAAAACCATTTATCACATACTTGTACCTTTATCAGGTAGGAAGCAGCGGGACATAAAAACGATATCGTCCCGGATATCGTTTTTTGTCCCGGATATCGTTTTTTGTCCCGGATATCGTTTTTTGTCCCGCTAAATTTCGCGCCTTGTCAAAACAAAGATGGCCGACTCGATGTTCGTGTTGGTTGATGTCGACAATTTTATCGAAGGAAACAAGAACGATAATACAAAACGAAAGACTTATTAATTGTATATTATTTATATGAATGGTCTATTTATTTTCTAAAATCATATTTGTTCAATAAATGAGGACTTTTTTTGAATTCTAAAATGATCCTTTTTTTCAAAACTGTTTATTTTTGGGTGTCAAACCCTGATAAAGGTACAAGTATATAATAAATAGGTTATCGTACTCGGGATTCGGTGATATCAGTTTTATCGCTCTCGGGACGATATCACTATTGTCCCTCGCTCGCTGCGCTTGCTCGTGACAATTGTGATATCATCCCTCGAGCGATAAAACTGATATCACCTCATCCCTTATATGATAACCTATATATATATATATACACATTCCCTGCAGACAAAAACAATAGAAAGGGGCTGAAACTGACGTCCAATAACTCCATCTTTGGCTTCACTTTTTTGGACTCGAGTTCTCGTTCCAGTTATATATGGAGCTCACTGGTTGGTACTGCTAAGCCTACCTGGTCATATCCACCCAAAGCCTGGGTAACTTCGTACATCTTGAATAGATTGACTATAGGAAATAAAAGATACATTGTAGTGGCCATATTTGGCCTGAAGGATTTATAGGGATACGGGATACTGAAGGGTAAAATTTAGGATACGGGATACTAAAACGACTAGCCAAAAGGAAGTCATAGACTTCGTGATAATAGGGGTACTTGACCAAATAACCACACTAACAAAAGGGATACGAGATATCCAGAACCATCCCCGCCTCCCCAATATATTAGGATATCATTTTAATATCTCCGAAGGTAAGCAGATAAACGAACTATCATTTAATAAATACATTCCCATACTTTTCCTGAAACCCAAGGCCGGGATTTTCTCAATTGGAGAGCCTCGTTTTCTCATAAAGATTTTCAAGTTCTTCATAAAGTCACGCTCATCTGCATTTTGTGGCTGAAATGGAATAGTTTTACAAAATTGATTAAACAAGAAAAATTGAGGTCTGCAAACAAGGTGTTACTAATCTGCTCACAAGCTGTCGACAAATTGTGTTCGCATTTCTTGTTCTTAGTTGTTGTTTGGAACAAGCTGTTAACAACTTGTAACAAGCTTGATGGTATTATCAGACCTGTTACAAGGTTGCTCTAATAAGTCTGATGCAGTCATGATATAACAAGAATATTACGAGGTTGACGACACAAGGTTGTAACAATATTGTTATATCGTGACTGTTATATCGTGACTTATATTGGAACAACCTTGCAACAAGTCTGATAATATCAGCAAGGTTGTTACAGGTTGTTAACAGCTTGTTCCAAACTTGTTGACAACGTGGGACAAGCAGAGCGAACACAACTTGTTGACGAGTTTTTGCGTGTGTAATCCAAGAAAAGCTGTACATGCCTCGCTGCGGCTATTGCTGGATTGCCCGACGTTTCGGATAAACACTCACCTCGGGACTGTATTCTTCACATTCCATCATTGTCTCTGTGTACACATATTCATCCTCGACCTTGATCTGTACTTGATCATCTTCTACAGTCTTGGGAGCTATCTTCACCTCAGATGACTTTAAACATTTGTTCGACTTTCCAGGTGGTCGGCCTCGTTTTCGTTTCAAAGGTTGTTCAGTTCTTGGCTCGTCCCCATCACTCGTTCCCAGGTTCTGTGTAACTTCTCCTTGTGTTGCAAGTGCTGTGGACATTATGGTTGACATTCGCGGTTGTATGTGATGATTTGTGGTGATCGTTGCCGCGTGAGACACGAGGGATGCGTGGACACTCTCGGGTAAACTCGCAGGACAATCTTTGTCCACGCGTATACATTTCTCGCGTGTCTGTGTCACTGAATTAGAATACGACACTTTTGACGGGATATTTTTTTCTATCTGATGACCAGATATCTGATCAGTGTACATTAAGCCTGACTCGGTATAACGGCCGTAAGGAATCGTTTTTTTCTGTTCAATTTTCACCAACTTTGGAACTGGTGGAATTGCTATAGGTTTGCCGTCTTGTTTTACAGATCGTATAACACCCGAACGTTTTTCTTCTTTTATGCTTGATACAAGTTTTGGAGGACACGGAAGTTCTTGGATTGAACTTGTCTCTGAAGTGTCAGTATTGTTGTCGTCCGAACTCTCTGCTTCGTTTGACGCTTGTTGTTCAACAGTCGCATTATTTTGTTTTACTTTGATTTCTTCTTTTGACGCTGTAGTTTTATTACTCAGTTTCTTTTTCCGAGGTCTGCCTTTGAGAACTGGAGCTATAATATCGCAGAATTTTCAGTCAGGTGTTCTAAATTATACTACACTTAAACTGACAAAATGGTCGAATTGAACGAAAAGTGAAACCAAAGGCAGCAGACATCATTTTCAGTCATTCGTGCTGTTTCGTTGTATTGTTTAGAAGTAATGAGAGTGACCGCACAGAAATCTGAGACCACTGAACTACCACTGAACTCTATAACTACTGGAACGATAAGATGCGGCCAACAGAGTGATCTCTTGTAGGTATAAAACACGCGTGTATTTCGCGTGCGCTTCACGGGAGCTGAAGCATTTATGTGCAAACATTGAAAAACATCATGTTTTTCAATGTTTGCACATAAATGCTCATTTATAGTGGTAAATACCCTACTTAAAACCTAAAAACTAAATGAAAAGGTAAGATTGATGCAACTGTAGTCGATATTACTTCTATGTTTAGTTCAAATCCCACATATATAGTTTGCTGGTGTTTTTCCGCGGGTTTATTTCTTGTTTTCACTCGTGTTTGTGTTTGTAAAATTTGCTTATTCCGAAAGACCACTTGCTCTAGTTTGTTAGGGCCACGATAAAGCCAGACTTAAAAAATAGTCGACCGAAAAATTATGAAATTTCTATATGAAATGATGCCGATTTTTTGTACTGAATTCAGTGAATTTCCGCGCAGGGGCCTAGGGCCTACCTACAAGACGGGCTTTTTCGCCGGCTTCAAAAACAGGGTTCGTAGTCTC